AGAGAGAGAGAGAGAGAGAGAGAGAGAGAGAGAAAGAGAGGAGAGAGACAGAGACAGAGACAGAGACAGAGACAGAGACAGAGTCAGAGTCAGAGACAAAGAATTAGCTATGCATCCATCCTAAGCATCTTCTACTTCTTTTCTAAACTTAGTACAGGGTCTACAGGGTCCCACTGCATAGATCAGGCTCATAGTGATCCTACTGTGTTCAGCCCCCCAAGCACTGGGATTATAGGCACATGCCACCAGGCCCAGTCTCAGTCTCTGTCTCAGCCTGCACCAGAGGCAGGGCTGGCATGGCTTGTGGTGCCTGAGAGTGACCTCTGGCCCTGCGCTTTGCCTAAGCAAGCATTTTAGTCCACTGAGCTACCTGACCTGCCCCTCTTCCACTTTTGACTTTGCTTAGTGTACTGGAGACCGAAACTTGCATATCACATCTTTTCTTTGACAGGCTTCTCATTAGTTCCTGCCAAAGGGGAGCTAAAGGGTGACTAGAAACCTGAGGGAAAGATTTGAGCTCTGTTGATGTCATTGTTGCCTCAGGAATAGCTTTGGCCAAATGCAGCTGAAGTTTTGAGATTCCATATCATTTTATATCATTAAAGAAAAATATGAACACAAATTAAGCTTGGTAAATTTATGGGAGAAAGAATTATTCCTATGTGGGACCTCACTGCAGATCAGGACACAGGTAGAGACCACCATCCAGGGACATTGGGGAACATAAAAATAAGTGACGTATAGAAATAACTTGATTGTTTATACCTGGGCGTTTCCTTTTTTGCCATCTTCTGATGGGATTTGCCCCTTACTAGGACATGTTCTGAGCACCTGGCAGGTTGAGACAGACTAGATGTCAGCTGTTGTGTTTGGCTGGGTGTTTATTGCCAGTATGTATTCAAGAGAGCTTGCAGTTTGCTGATATTCAAGTCTGCTTGCTGTTTCCTATAAATCTATATACATTTAGTACAACACTCACCTTTACATGCCCTTTAAATTTCTGTGGATTTAGTTATCCATAGTCAATAAGAAGTGGAAACCATTAAAAGGGAAATTTTAGGAATTAGTTTACATTTTTCTCTCTTGCACAAGCAGGATGAGACCCTCACCATCAGGGTCTGACATCCGCAGCCCGGGAATCATCCCTGTTTCCACTGGATCCCTGCTGTAGAAAGCATTGGGAAATCATTCCCTTAACACATAAATTATGTTTGTTACTGTCAGTGATTGCAATGATTGTTTTCAAAAACTATTGTTTTAATAGATCTTAAGCAACATCTTAGTTGGACAAAAAGATGACACCTAAATAAATTTATACATGGAATTCTTATTATTCTTCTATTTTATTAAATGCAAGATAATAAAACACTCCTCTAAGTATTTGTTTAACATTTATGTATGTGGACATTTATCCATTTATAGGTTTCCAATTCTCTGCTACCATAATTATTTCTAATTAAGGACTTTATATTATTTGATTGTATGGTATGCAGTTTTATATTTTCATTTTTTAGTTTTTTATGGCTAACCCGTTTTTGCAATACATAAGTAAAACTTTAGTATTCATTCATGTAGTACTACATATTTTATAGAGTTTGATAGCTCAATGTATTGTTCAATATCCCTTTTTACAACTCTTAATATTGCTTTCATTACTTATTAGTAGTTTATCACCACAAACATTTTAATGATAGTAAGAGAACAACAACTATTAAATTAAGAAATATAAATTTATAAATGTATCTGAGAAGCACCATAATTTAGCATTGCTTTATTTTATGAATCATGGCTTTAGAGCTATATCTTTTTTGTTTTTCACAATAAAGCTCACATGTTGCTTTAAAATCGCTAGTGGTAAATCTGAGTCACTTACAGTAAATGAAAACATAAAATAATGAATCAGTAAAGTTCTTAATCAGAAACTACATACTAAAGTAAATTAATGATTAAAATAATAAGAAGTGAGGTGAGGTCCATCATGGTGGCAGACAATGAGGAAGGCGCTGCAAGATGCTTGGAGACGCTCTAGGAAGATGCTTACTAGGAGAGCTCAGGAGCCTGGGAGTGGGGGCAAACCATGCCCTCTTGTGGTGCTGGAAAGAGATAGGATCCAGACATTCACCAGTTAATAGCCAGTATCAGGGTTGCTGGCAAAGCAAATCAAGGGCAATATTCCATCCTGCAACTAGTGAAAACACTGCCTTGAGAAAGAGCCTAATATCCTGTAGCAAGAAGCCAAGTACAAAGCAGAGGTAGAGCGGCAGTGTGTGATTCCCCTGCGAAGAGGAAAGTAGCTCTCAGCAAGGATACCAGTATAGCCCAGGTACTCAGCATGCTGGGAGAGTATCAGGCTCCTGGGGGAAGGCCGCTGTGTGTGGCATCCAGTTGCATTGCCTGTACCCTCCCAGTTGTGGCACAACTTATATCAACAGTGTGGCAAAAACACCACCTCCTTCCAAGGAAAGAAGCCAACAACAGCAAGTCCAGCTGGGCTTCTTTGAGCATGCCCAGGTGAGCAGCTCACAACCCAGGCACTAGGGGCCAAGGAAATGGCTCAGTGGAATAAGTGCTTCCCTGGCAAGTGCAAGGGCCTGAGTTTAATCCCTGGTTCTGCCAAAAATAAAAAATAAAAATGAAAATGAAAAAATAACCCAGGCACTACCTACAAAGAGGTTTGAGAAAGGCAACATCCTAAGATAGAATCTAGACCTCTGGGTAAGGAGGCTGAGTACAACAGGAACAACTGGTGTGCTTCTTGGAGTGTCCCATGAAGAACCAAGCCGTTCTGCATTCTGATACCCATCATAGCTCAAATCTGGAGAGAAGGACATCTTGAGAGATTTTCTAATCCCCAGAGTGGAAAAACTGCTTGGAGTGGAGGCAGCTGCACTGCTGCGAGTTGTGTCCAACAGAGCACTGAATAAATTCATAAATA